CTGAGTCGAAGATGTATAATTGAACATGTGGTGGGTCTCTCCTGCCATCAGTAATTTCATCAGGAAAAGCAGAATGTCCTCCACCCCCCCATCCCATCCCAAAAAAAAAAGAAAAAAAAAAGGGAGTCAACAGGAATTACAAGTCTGTGTATGTTTGCAGCTTCATTTGCAGTTTGAGATTCACTGAGCATGTCAGGAGTTGTTTAGTCGTTGTCAAGTCAAGTCAGTTGAGTCAGTTTTTATTTACATAGCACCACATCACAACAGAGGTTATCTCAGGACACTTTTCAAATATGCTGCACGTGTTAATTTTCTGCCATCTATGTTACAAGCAGAAGGACTCACGATTCTAAATATTGTTACAATTAGTTATTTTCAAGGTTATTTGCATTGCATTGTTGTTTATTAGCAGAACATCTTATAGCCACCTTAAACAAAACAAAAATCCCAGAGCGCAAGGGTCTCTTTTCTAGACTCATCTTTTAGCCCTGACAGTCAACAGTCACACAGGGAGAAACCCATCATTAAAGGACTTGACATCTATCTCTCCATTGACAGTAGCTTTAATAATGCAACAGTGCAGTGGAACCCTAAGACACTGTGCACCCAGTGAAAGAGACACACGGCTGTCATTTTTTCTCAACTGCTGTCTTGTTAAGAGAGGAAAACACAGCTGAAAGCAACAAGATCATACCTGTTCTCAGAGGACCGTGACGAGTTGAGGGAATAGGCCTGCGACGAAAAAACAAAAGAAATTGCGGCGCTTCATCATAACTTCTGGAACTTCTGAAATGCGTTAAACATCACAAACGGATGATATAAAACCGTGTGAGGGTGTCTGGGGGAGTATTTTTCTGGCGTCGAGAGACCAGACTAATGATCAGATAATGTAAGCTGGAAATTCTACTGGAGCCCCATAAGAAATCTCTGCCTAATTCTTGGCCCCAACTTTACCTATGTCGGATTATTTGCTTCAGTTTGATGGAGGAATATACTCAGGAAGAAGATGATGAATGTTAGAACAAGACTGATGGTGTTGGCTATTCATCAGCCTTGTCAGATTTACTGAATATTAAATTTTATAATTGCGTGTCCATGAAAATGTGATATTAATATTCCTATTGTTATTTTATATTTTATATCTATTTTTCATTTTGAGTCTTTTCCCTCATTATAAAATATATATGCATACACAGAGGTAACGCTGAAACCTTGTGAAAAATGCTAGTTTAAAGATATGGCATATTGGAATAAAATATTGCTTGTTAGCAGTTCTCTATCCAAACACATTGATCTTAGCATCAAGGTTGATGCCCGGATCAATTGAGATTGATCCGGGCATCACCAATTTAAGAACTTGAATGATATGGCAGTTTAATTGTAAGATATGGATTCTGCACTTGCTACAAACAGCAACCCCCAAGATGCTGTCATGTGGGAAAAATATTGACTCTCCTTAATTTGATCTGCAATAACAAAGCAGCTGTAATCCACTGGGATAAAACAAAATGTCCAGCATGGCACGCCTCACAGTGAATGCAATCAGTATGGCCAAACCCTATGGCAAAAGTTAAGGGCACTGTGAAGTCAAACTATTCAGAGTGTCTGTAAGGTAGGGTATGAGATGGAAGAAGACGGAGAGCCAAGGCCATGTGACTGTTTATAATATGAGACTTATTAGAGAAGCTTCTAAATCTGTTTTGACAGGTAGAACACTCGTGGGTCGACTGGTGCTGTCCTTGATGCCAGCCAGAGGCAGATAAGACAAGGATGGCAAAACTCCACAGTGTACTCCGCCAGAAATCATCAGTCCTGTATCAGGGATTGCTTCCCATTTGCGAATTGAGGCTTGAAATGAAATGACACTTCCTTAACGGTGCCTGAGTTCGTTTAGGACAAAATGTCGACTAAGAAATGAAATGGAGAAATAATTTTTTGTAATTTACACTATGCACTTTATTGTGTATTTGTGCATGTGGCACATTTCTTGTGTCTTTCGGTTAATGCCTCTGAAAGTTTGATCACTGGAAAACCCAAAACCACATTCATTTGAAGACAAATTATTTCCTGATTTCAGTCCAAAATTGTTTTTACATAAGAGCAGTTGTACCTTAACATGATGTTTTTGTCCTGGGTAAATCAGTATCATCAATATATTCCAGAACGAGATGTATTTTCATGTTGACTATCATTGTGTCACAAGCTGTTAGGTCTCGAGTGGGTGGAAATCTCAATTTGGAACAAACAAACTTCACAAACTCTTCAGCTGCTGATTGTTATTTTAGTGCTTGTTTAGCTCGCTCACAGAGGGAGGGAGGAAAACTGCTCCTTAGAAAGGCTCACACAAGAACCAGATGCCTGTTCATTTATGATCTGTGCAGCAGTCATATCAATGGGGTGGCAGGAAATCAAATTAGATGAATTAAAGGAATTTCATCTTGTAAATATTCTGAGGAAATGTGTGTCTGCTGTAAAAATAGAGCTGTGTGTGTTTTGTGCTCATTCACATGCTCAGTGTGTTGTGTGCAGAGGGAGACAAATTATCTCCTATCTGCATCATTTATTCTGTGTGTGTGCAGAAGAACCTATAATAAAATAGTTAATATCACATGCTTTTTCCTCTCTCCTTGATCCAGGAGAGGCGGAGAGAGAAATCTTAATTGAGGGTACAGTAGGTGGTTGGAGACGAGAGGTTGCTGCAGCAGAGAAAATTCAGTAGTTTTAATCCACTCATCCACCCAGGCAGTGACAGCAGGATTACAGCAGAGACTTTATAAAAGAAGGCAATTATGACAGCACATGGCAATACACTGCCCTAAATTCAATTACCCTCTCAGGCACTTTTCAATTTTCTTTCATTAAGTGGATTAAGAAGAAAGGCATGTTCTTCAAGTTTAGAAATGATTAAAAGTCTAAAGAAAGATGAGAGGCAATGGAGAGGAGGCGACTCATTTCTGCTTATGATTAGTCATGGGTGTTTGCTGTAGGAATTCATATTTCGTGCATCAAATTGATTTTGTTCATCATGAGGCAGAGAAATGATCCATGTCGGGCCTGCACAGCTGAGAGGTTTGTTAATGATACTCTTTTGTTTTTTTTTTGTTTTTTTTTTGTTGTTGTTTTTTTGTTTTTTTACTCAGCCAGCTCCAACTTTTTCATGTGAAATGCATTTGCTGGTCCTTCAGCATAAAAGCACACCTTCAACAGAACAATAGATCTAGTTGCCAGCGTTGCCTTCAACAGAAAACAAAGTGTGACAGATGGTCACAAAGTTCCCTGGCAAGAAAATTTCCTCCGAACCCCGTGCAACCTTGCCGAGGCAACTGCTTTTTGCAGCTTTCCCCAAAAGGTTTCTTGGTTTATTTTTGTGTGAGACCCATAACTCGATCAGAGTTTCTAGAAAAGGCTCAATATGTCTCCTATAAATAATGAGAAAGTTTCCCTTCATGTCTTTTTCCACTGTATTATTTTTTTCCCATTTCTCCTTCTTTAACTCCAGGCTAGGAGCAGAGCCAAGTCTGTGTAATTTAGTTTCTAATAACACAGCACCAGTTAATCTATGGCTTAAATTCAAACATTTTATTGTTATGTTTGCCAGAGGTGTTTTTGTTTCAGCACAGAAGCAGAAATATCCCAGTTTTAATAAGCCCTGAGTAAGAGGCAGAGATAATAGTTGTTACAGATGTTGCAACGGGTAATCTGAACTTCCAAGTTTTCCAAATATCACAAAAAAATCAATTTGGTCATTTTATATTTAACATCAAAATTCATATCTATTTTGTAATTTCTATGTGTCAAATATTCTCTATTAAAATATAAAGGTGAAAGAAGAAAGTATTGCACTGTATAGAGGGGATCAACATGATTTTTTTGTTTCTGTTCCTCATTTGTAGTCTGCCATTCATTTCAGGTCACACCCACATCTGTGATGCTGTCTCTGCCTGTCATTCCCGCCTGCTCCTATTTCCTCTCAGCAGAGGTCATCAGCCTATTATTTTTCATTATCTGTCATCATCAAAGAGGATGGAACCGCCTGCAGTATTTGGGAGCAGTGCAGCTCTCCAGCACAGGAAGAGTGATCGATGTGCTCCTCTGCCTCCTGATGAAATAGACTACCTTTGTTCTTGCCTGGAGCTCGACACTTGTCCTGTTAAATCATCTTCCACCCTCTGTCTCTGTTACCATTAGACCGTGGTTTTCTCAAACCATGAATCAGACCCCAGTAGGGTCTCATACCTACCTGTGGTGGACAAAACAGACAGTAGTTTGAGATGTCTAACCATATCTCTTTGTAAATTCAATATGTTTTTTTCTAAGTCTTGTATTTGTTTATTAATCATAGCTATACGAAGAATTGCATATTGCTACTAACTTAAAATGTTTCTGTCAACAGTGGCGAGTGACCTTTTAGTGCTTTATTGGTACTTTGAATCCATTTTGTATGCATCACTATAAAATCACTTAATAGCCTATTCCTGTGACATTTGCAGTTCATCCAAGAAATGATTAAATGTATATGCTCATTTGTGTTCTTGGCCGACAGCAGTGGAAGCTTCAAACTTCAACGTGTTGTGCATTCTGAGATGCTTTTCTGCTCACAACAAAGAAACAGTGGTTATCCCTCAATGGATGTTTTGGGGTTTTTTTTCGGTTTTTAACACCATTGTGAGTAAACTCGAAGGACTGTTGTGCATTAAAACCTCAGGCGATCAGCAGGTTCAGAAATATTTTTTCCCCTTACTAGTGTTTGATGTGAAGATCCTGACCTGTATCTGCATGATTGTATGCACTGCTGCCACCTGATTGGATAATTGCATGGTGTACAGGTGCTCCTAATGTAGAGCTCAATGAGTGTACATTCATACATTAGCCCTGCTGGTAAATTAATGCAATCGGTGACTGTTATGTAATACCACTATTCATCTATAGGATGCGCCACATTTTCTGCAAAAGGCAATTTGTAAGTGTCCCTACCGGCTTCCCGTCGTCTACGTATCATCCCGGAAGATTTACCTTTATCCTGACACGTAGCAGCCGCAACCAAGTTGGCAGTGTTCTGGGTAGATTTGTCAAACATCACAGGTAAGTTTCAGCGTTTATAGCTCAAGAATAATGATTTTTTAAGAAAGGGCTGAATGGAGTATTAAAGCTACCGCTGATATTATGGGCGAAATATGCAAGCCAGGTCTCCACAACAGGTATATAGCTAGCATTAGCTGACCAACTAGCTGCAGAGTTAACGGTACGTTAGCCACCCAAAGATTAGCCTTTTAAATGTATTTTTTGACAAGATTGGTTATCTTTCTGGTAACTGCGACTGTCGAGTCATTTGATAATTAGTGCAGTTTCTAATTATTGGCCACAAATATACAAATTTGTCTCGGTGTTGTGTGTGGAGCTTTATACGTTAGCCACGTTAGCTCACAGTTGTGTTTAAATCACACGGAGGTAACGTTATCCCAATGACAGTAGCTTTGTACTGCTTTGTAGTGAGTAATAACGCTTTCATCAACTTTAACTTTATGAATATGGACGTTGACTTGGAGTATAGGAGACAACAACAATTCCTGTCACGTAGCATTGGCTACCGTTACTTAAACTAAGAATTTGGTCCCAGCCCATGAGTTTACGGGTTGTAACCTGGTAATATTTCATGACTGATTTGTAATTTATGACGTGATTTCACTCGATAGGACGATGTCAAGGCTCCTCATGCTGGTTTCAGGCTTTAAGGTGTTTAATCCCCAAAGAAATGATCCTAAAAAACGGAAAACTATTAAGTAGTAATTATTGCCTGTGCATATGTTTGGGCCCCCTTACAAGCCAATTGTTAAGCTTGGGGGTGGAAATATTCTACTTTGGGGTTATGTGGCACAGGAAACATTGCATGGAGGGAAGAATGGATTCCACTAAATATCAGCAAATACTGGATGTAAATGACAATACAATACAATACAATAAAGCCAGGTAACATGATCATCACTGTAACAGGAAAGGAACAAGGTTGGCTGAGAGTGTACAATGTGTAGTATAAGGGTATTGTTTGTATACAGTATATAGGGATATTAAGATAAATGCCTCATTGCAGACAAAAAAGTTATACTTCTATTTCTGTCCCTGTGTTTCTGCCAGAGTGAGAGATGTCGGGGTTTGACAACTTCAACACAGACTTTTACCAGTCAAGCTACAGTGTAGATGACCAAAGCCAGGCTGGCTATGGCTACAGCAACACTGAAAACCCATACAACAAGTAAGTGGAAAAAAAATCCCTCCTTACCTGGTTCTCCCTTAACTGTTGACACCTTCAAGCGCAGCATTGTTACTCATTTATGCGCTGTTTCAGCTTCTGAGGACTAATCTTTTCTTACCTGTTTTAACTCTTCATTTAACATCTTGTAAGTGTTAACATATTTTTTGTGCCCCATTGAAAATCATCCTTGAGAAGCAACTTGCAATTATTAAGTAGAACTGGGCAGTCTTCTAGTCAAAGATTCCCTTTAAGTATTATTATTATTATTATTATTATTATTATTATTATTATTATTATGTGTTTTCCAGGCCATACGGTCAATATGACTACTCCCAGCCCATGGCCTACTCTTCCCCAGGGGTGATGCAGCCTCAGCAGCCATACACAGGACAAATCTTCCAGCCCACACAGACCTACACCCCATCCCCATCACAATCCATGTATAGTAGCAGCTTTGATGATGAGCCACCACTGCTAGAAGGTAAGTGAGCCACAACCTGGAAGCTACCACCTCTACATTGTTCTTTGACTCTTACACAATTCCTCTGATTTTTCTCATATTTGTGGTTGTTAACTGTGCTAAATATAACTGTTCTAAATATAGTGATTTGTTGTTATTCTGTTAGTTTATTGCTATTGCTATTTTTATAACTTATAAAACTTTTATGTGAGATCAGGCCACAGCTTCTCAAAAGTGAGGATTTGCTTTATGTGCTGTGTTTCATATTACTCCAAACTGAAGAGGATAAATAATCAGTTGGATGAAGGTAATCATTAGCTGCACTGTTTACCAGCTACCAGTTACTTTTGCAAAGGCACCACTATATGACTAAAATATAAAAATAAAGTGTTCCTGTTGATATCGGTCTGTAGTCACCTCAAGGACGTGAGTTCTGGTCTAAAGATGTGAAATGAAAATTTCATTCATCTGTTGCAGTGTCTAGCAGAGTCAGAGAATTTCTTGGCTGCAAGAAACTTTTGATAGAATAGGAAGGACTAATGAATAAAAGCAAGGCTATCTGCCAAAGTCACTGCAAAATTGGCAGACCTTAGTTTTCCAAAATTTTCCATTTTTTCCCTGTAATTACACACGAGAAAGCTTTTCATTGGCATAAACGCTGTGAAGTTACAAACAAACCAGCAGCATACTAATTTAAAATTGAATTGTTTGATATATGTTTTCCACTTTGTGTTTGACCTGTTGCAGTATAGTAAGACACAAAATGCTGGAAAATAAGCCATTTTACTGTTTTTAAATTAACACTGTTATCAGTTCATACAGATTTGTTTTCTGTTTAGTGCTTTCTTCTGTAATTAATTCTATTCACAGTAATAATAATAATAATTATACATTTTATTTATAGAGCAATTTCCAATCTTCTCAGTCACTTTATACAGCAAGTTAATAAAAGATCCTAGAAAGCTAGAGCTATTTATATGGCCCCAATGACTGGAACGTGCTCTTCCAAAGTTCATACATACCTTATGTTGGGAGCTCACATATTATCAGATGCTGACTGCCATGGTAATGAAAAAAGCTCTCCGGTGTGAACTGCACCAGCAGCAATATTTGACACTCCTGATCCTCCTCACCCTTTGGATTCAGTCATTGGCATCTTAACATATCTCGACTTTTTTGTCTGCCGATCAACCTGTGTCTAATCAGTCTGCAGTGGTAAAGAACTACCAACTTCTTAAATGTGTTTTACATTAGAGACATTAAAGTATAGTGTAACAACCTATAATACATAAAATGAAATAGCTGACACATCTAACAGAGGGCTCCACCAGCACCACCTGACACGCTGCTCCATCTGGTCACAACTGCTGTGAAGTCATGTTTTGGCAAACGGACAGCTAACAAGGTGGAAAAACATAAAGAACGTGATGTTGATCGGATGCATTTCTATTAAACTAGATTCTCTATCAGTTAGAACCAGCTGGGAGCACTTTGGCCATGGCCCTTGCTGTGCCTTGTCCATTCCTGTGCTTATGAATACATGTGTGGCGCCACACAGCTATGTCTCAATGACAGATTTACAGTTGAGCTGCAGTAAATGAAACACCTAAAATCTAATTCTCACTCTAAAATAAATGTAAGCTGTAGAGCTGAAGTCATGTCAAGGCTGTTCTGAGAAAAAAAGCTCTAACTGAAAAATCTGAGTTTTGTCCAAAGGTTTCTTTGTCATCGTGAGGGCCTCGTGTTCATGTAGCAGACTAGTAGCAAATACTGCACGTAATTGTATCTCTGAGCTTTTTCAATACAACTCTTTGTGCACTTATTTTATGAGATTCTTTCTTACTATGTTTTATTATAGTTCTAGTATCCAACATAACTAAAGTGTGTTTTCTTGTTTCTCTGCTTTCTCTTAGAATTAGGAATCAACTTTGACCACATCTGGCAGAAGACTCTGACCGTGCTCCATCCGATGAAAGCAGCAGACGGCAGCATCATGAATGAGACAGACCTGGCTGGCCCTATGGTCTTCTGTTTGGCCTTCGGCGCAACACTCCTCCTGGTAAATCATTTAGTTAACACTGCTGAATAATGCCTCTTAAAAACTTGAATTGATCCTTCTACAGCTTTTGGTAAAAACACACATACAGTATACTGTATCTCTACACCAACCTGTACATCTGTCATGTAGGTGTGTCCACATCCATATCTGACTGTGTGGATGTTTTTTTTTTTAATTTCCATTCACAGTCAGGTAAGATCCAGTTTGGCTATGTATATGGTATCAGTGCAATTGGATGCCTTGGGATGTACTGCCTTCTCAACCTTATGAGTATGACGGGTGTCTCCTTCGGCTGTGTGGCCAGCGTGCTGGGATACTGCCTCCTCCCCATGATCCTCCTCTCCAGCTTTGGAGTCGTCTTCTCTTTACAGTGAGTACACAATAACAGTAAAGGTGTTTATATAACCGGTAAATGAAGCAAATGCTTTTCTTTGTATATAGACCATCCTACTAGACACTGTCTAGTAGTATAAACTTCCCAGACAGGATTTTATTGTATTAGTATAGTGCAACCTCTGTTAATAACACTGGCTAAACTGTGATATTTTTCCATCTTGATTAATGTGTAGGGCAGTGTAACCTTTGGTGTATGTTTGATAGTTGTACATTCAATAAAACTGAATAAATGCTGCTTTCATACAGGTAATTGTTAAAATGATGAAAGCTAACCTCCTTCTTCCTTTTTTGTTCTCCCAAGGGGCATGATGGGAATTATACTAACAGCAGCAATCATTGGCTGGTGCAGCTTCTCAGCCTCAAAGATCTTCATCTCAGCGTTGGCCATGGATGGGCAGCAGCTGTTGGTTGCTTACCCCTGCGCTCTCCTATATGGGGTCTTTGCACTCATCTCCGTCTTCTAAAAAAAATCATTGAGTAACAGTTTAAAATACTGCTCTCCAATTTCTGTAATATCAGTCTAATTAGTGTCAGTGTAATAAGTGTAATTATTGGCTATTTACACTGTTATTACAGAAAAATTGGAGCTGCTGTCTTAAATGGCACCAAGGTTTTTTTTTTCTTTTTTTTTTTCTTTTGAGCCTCCACTCTCACAACGTTCCGACTTGACCGTCTGCAGGTTGGATTGAATAGTCTCACTCATGTCTACTCCCCCCCTTGCTCCCTTCATGCGTCTTAAAGGAGATAGCTGTCAAATAAACCTGGTGACAAACAACTCTCCTGTGGACAGCGTTGGGCCTTAAACAGCCTAGTACAGTCCTATGATTTTAAGAAAATGAAGGGGAAGGAAGTGAGCAAGTAGTTCACACAATGGAAACCCAAGGAGACACTTCAATTTGGACAAAGATGGGAAAAGGTTCTCAGTTTCCAAGACGGACCGATAACCAACGCTCAGCAAACCCTGCAGGTTCATTTGGAGCCAGTGGAAACGTCTCAAATCAAGATTTTTGCAAAAAGCTGTTGTGAGCCATATCTGGCAAGCATCCATAGATTCTACAACTGCTAGACTAAGGGGGACACCCACTTTCATTCTGCGCAAGACTACAGAAGCTCATTCTACACCTCCACCCAGAAAAGGGTGGAATAAAAAAAACGGGTGTCTCCTCCTCCATATTTTTTCTTTTCTCCAGGACTGAGGAGCCATGAACCCATCATCTGCTCATCACAGAAGTGATCTGATCTTTGATGTAGAATCAGCAGCTCTCCTATATCTTCTCATTATTTTATTATATTCTCTTGAGATTCATTCAAGTTTTGATGCCTTTCAAGAAGACAGAAGTACAGATTGCACATGAACGTTGTTCTAATTTTCAAAACCAAACACATTTTGATTAGATATTGAGAATGAATAGTTTGAGAGATACTGTATGTGTCTGGTTACAGACATATAGGATGTTGCTATAGTTTGCATCCCTTGCATTTCTTAAATCTTTATTTTAGAGTCAGCTCACTTTGTATGCTTTGATGTGTCATCTGTTGTTCATGTCTTCTCATGCACATTAAAGTTGTTTGAAGGTTATCTGCCTTTTGATATTCAAGAGTACATTGTATGGTGAAGCAGATAATTGTAAGAAGTGGCATGGCCTCTGTTCAAGAGAGACTGAAACAGAGATTTTATTTGGCCCGTTGACCTTTAGTGTTTGTTGTGTGGCAGAAGAAAGGCTAGCGTGCACTGGAAGAAGTGGGTGTTTGATACATAATGACAGTGTTCAGCAGCCAGGGGAGATGCTATCACAGGTGGTTTAGAGATCAAAGGAAATAATCTGCACACTGATCTACATCAGTGTCATTTTTTATTACTTTTTAGATATGGAAGACCTTCAGGTTTAAAACAAGGTTTGTAATTGCATGAGAAGTGAGTGCAGCAGGACGTGTTTGCACCTCCAGCTCTAAAGCTTGGGCAGGTGAGGGCAGTGTTAACCTCACATCGCCCCTCCAGCCTCACTGTGTACAGAGTTTACCAGTCATCAGCTGCAGGTACTCTTGAAGGCTCTCTGTCTCCCTCATGTGCTCACGACCGGTTGATCACTGCAATTGGCTACTGCCATTAAATACTTCTGCTGAACATTTATTTTCATCAACTACAGAATAGTCAGTGTCATGTGCATGTACATGTTCCTCAGTCAAAACATCACCGTCTTTACATCCTGGCACATAATACAGGAGCTAAACATTCATAAAAATACAGCAACTTGACAACAAATGTATTGTAGGATGCTTCTCTAATGGTGTAATTGTGATACACAACATTATCTTATTACACTCAACCGTTGCCTTTTAACCATAGCACCAGAGGATGAGCTTTCACTGATATTACCAAAAAACAGCAGCCTTTTGCTTGAAAATATTTTTGGAGGATTGTCTAATTGTGTCATGTTGATGAAACTACAGGCCACCAAGGTCAGTTGTGTTTGGCAGAATAAAAACCACAACTCTTGACTGTTCTTAAACTGGTCAGCCTACGCTAGAAAGACATAGATTGACTTTATTATTCTTAAGCAAAGCTTTAAAATACAAGAACTCACATAATCTAAGGAGAAGGTTGACAAGAAGGGATGTTTATTTTTATGGTTAGAACACCAGCCTCTATTTTCCCTCTGGGTTTTCTTTGCACTAACATACACAAAACACATACACAGGGGGGGCTCCTTAAATGGATGATAACCCACTTAGGAGGGATGAATAATTCAGAAATTAAAATGGAGTGCTTTTTCTATTTCAACAAACTCAACATCAAGGAGGAACTTTGCATTTCAAGCAAACCTAGCAGGAGCAGTGTGCTCTCACAGAGCTGTCTTCTGAATGTAGCTATAATCGTTTTTGTATATACATTTAAAAAGAAAGTAAAATCAACTGGTATTTTAGTGTCAGGTTCTTTTTATGCATGAAAGTGTCCAGTGTTGCACTCTCACAGGGATGTAAGCATTGCCTAAGTAAGTGTCATAAATTGCTTTTTCAACTCATTCCATGAGTGCGCGCTGTGGTGAGTATCTCGAGTGCTTCCAATTATTCTGTCATTCTGCGTCGTCTCAGCCCAGGGGATCTCTGAAACAGTTGATATTCTGGATATATATAAGTCAGCAGGATATTGACATTCATGCCACCATTTGTGTGTGTACAGTATCTGCTTCCAGCCAGTTTGCATAGCGTGTGGGGTTTTGATATCTTGCATCTGAAATTATTCAGGAGCATCTCATATTTTCCCTCTTGAGCCTAGAGAAGGAATTCATTCCAAAATACCATGTTTTTCCTTTCAATGATTCAGTCCTCATCACTATCTGACAGTCACATATTTTCAGTCTGTGCTGATGTGAGGAAAAGCTTATAATTTTGAAAATGCATTTATCATCATGTGTAGGGAAGGAAAACTGCCATTTCCAAATTAATTTAAAAATCGGGTCAAACTTTTCTCCACTTTTTCCAGAAACGTATCATCAGCTGATGAGGTTTAGAATAACAAAAGCTTGCATTTTCAATAAATCAGGTTAAAAAGCATTTTAGTTACATTCTATTATTTATGTTTGATTGACATGTGATTGCTTCTCAAATAATAAAATATATAGACGCAGTAAACTGGTTTGACAGACAACAGTTACGTGATCCATGCAAATGCAGGTTGTACTGAGAGACATTAAAATGAACATGCTGGTGATGGTCAATGTTCACTATGACGCAGGCAATCAAACAAACAGCAAGTCTCTCCTTGTGTTCCCATCTTAGATATAGCTATACCCATAGAAACATTTTCTATAGTATAAACTACAATAACTGGTTAGTTGATTAAAACCCTTTTTAAGATAGCATACAGTCGTTTTCAGCCAAATTCATGATGCATTCTAATTTTGATGCACTGATTAGGCCTATGCACATATATACAGAAGTGTAGGAGTACATCGGGGGGATACCTTAATAAGAAAAATAAATATGATTAGTAAATCTTGTTGTAAATTTTGGTTACCTGCTTTGACACATATTGCTCTATTTTATTCATTCATGGGATCAATATGGGTTCAGAATTTGCTGAATATGCTGCTGGAAGCCGAGCTTTAGCATCGGCAGAAACTTCTTACCCACAATGTTTTCACAACATTATCACTAAATCGTGGTAAAGATGGATCCAATAATAGAAGCTTGAAGCCAGAATTGAAATTAAACTAGTTGACTGTTTGGGATTTTTATTCCTTTTCCCATGTGGAGTATTTACTGTGCTGAACGTTCTGAATTTTTTTTTTTGATGGGAGCCAGATGGCTGCTGAAACGACCGAAACGGCACCAATGCAAGAGAAGAGCTGTCTTCCTGTTTGTCATCGTCTCCTGAAAAATTTACACCCAGGTGCCTCCAGAGGACAGTGTTGAGTTACATATCGTCCGTCCTCTCAGGCTGACTAAACGGTGTGTTTTCGCTGTGGTCATTGGCTGCAATCTGACATTTCCCCTGGAGCAATGACTACATCGCTTTTTCTTTTTTTAAACTTCCTTACAGTCATTATCAGAAAATTTATGGCTGACTCAACATGTGTGAGTCACTTCAGCCTCACCCATTACTCAGTATTCAGACTGTTTTATTGCTTGTTTGTTTACACATATGTTTGCATGGCTCTTTGTTTTGTTGCTAGTTTATGGGCATAACGCAGTGTAACATGCCATTTGGTGGACACTTTTAATTAATTGCCTCAGGTATACTGAATACACATAATGTTCTTTTAACATGGGTGGGCCCTGAGAAATCACATCATACTCTAATTTTGTCCATGTCAACACCTATTACACAAGACAAAACCATTACTGTTGCTAAACTGATACTGCTACTACAGTTCCTCTTGTCTACTCCTACTCATAGGATTGAAAATGCAACTGATCATCAGAGTCCTCACCAGAAATAGCTGACTAGTTGACTGGTCTGCTTGTGAATAGGAGCCGCCATACCATTATGTTATCTAATGGAGGATAATCTCACCTCCATCTGGCCGGCTTGAGCCTCAGTCTGTTCAGCTGTCTACACACCGACTGGTGGGTAGCAGCTAATGATGACATCGTCTCCTGCTCTGCCAGAAAGAAATACACGGGTCAAGACAAGCTGTAGGGATGAAGGCAGAGAGGGAAACAGACACTTAACCTACATTTTTAGATATAAAACAGCATAAAATGGAATTTGCACAATAACTATTATATATATTCTCTAATGAATCATGAATCTGGCATAAACATCGAGAAGAGAGAAATGCGGGAGAGACCAGGAACAGCTGTCAGACTGATTGTTATAATGGTAATAATAATAGTGCCACTATTAATATTAGCAGCAAAGATGGCAGTACCAATTAATAATAATAATAACTAATAATCATCATCATCATGTGATATAAATGCAGAGAGAGAGAGAGAGAGAGAGAAGAGAAAGAGAGAAGTGCTCAGTGCATCATGGGTGTTCCCCCAGCAGCCTCAGCCTGTGGCAGCATAAGTAAGGCATGGGCTCACCTGAGCCTTTGAGGGCTTTGCATGTAAGGAGAAGGATTTTGAATTCTATTCTGGATTTTACAGGGAGCCCGTGCAGAGAAACTAGCATGGAAGAAATATAATCTCTTTTTCTAGTTCCTGTCAGTAGCTACTTGTGCAGCAGCATTTTGAATCAACTTTTTTGGGACATCCTGATTGTGAGGAATTACAGCAGTCCAATCTAGAGGCAACAAATACATGGACTAGTTTCTCAGCATCCTTTTGGGATAGGATGTCTCTGATTTTCACAATACTGCACAGGTGGAAGAAGGCTGTCCCAGAGACTATGTATGAGTTAGAGGACATGTCATAGTTAAAAATGACCCCAATGTTCTTTCAGTAAAACTGGAGAAAAATCCATGACTAACTTTTGTGTGCATGGAAGAACATGATCAAACTGGAATCTATCTGAAAAAATATGATTTTAACCAGGCTATTGCAGCTCCTTGAATACCAATGACACCTTCCAGCCTCTGCAATGAAATCATGTGACTGATGGTTTCAAATACCACATTAAAATCTAGCAGGACAAGTGTAGAGCTGTAACTTTCACCAGTGCTGTTTCTCTAAATTGATGGACTCTAAATCCTGACTGAAAATCTTCAAACATAAACCTACTGAGATTAAAGGAATACATGGCTCAATAGAGCTATGACTTTGTCAGCCTGGTTACAGCAGTGAAAAGAAACCTGGAATGGTTCTTATTTTCTTGTACTAATGATGAATAATAGGAGTTTTTCATATTACAAAGGGCTATTTTTTTTATCTGTTCCTAGGCTAGGCAAATTATTCAAGATTAGTTGAACACCATATCATTTCCAGCCACGGAGCTAGCCCAGCATTATCAGATAGACACCTACTGTAATGGATTTTTCCCCAAATGCTAATCCGTTATTGTGAACTCAAACATTACTAAAAAAAAAGTCAGACAAATGAGGCTTTATTACTCAGACTGCCCTCTGCTTAGTGTGTGAAGAGCTGGTTTTTGCATTTTCCAGTCTGGGTATGAAAGGAAAAGAATAAGGCTTTCAGATGAGTTATAGCT